GTGTTATAAATGCCGTTCGGATGCACTTGCCTGAGAAAGAAAGAATTGAACAACCGTTCCAGCAAAAACTCCGTTCTACTCAATGAAACTGTGAAGAATCGCGCGCCGCAGTGACGACTTTTGCAATCGCGAGAGTCGTCAAGCGAATTGGCAGCGAGCGAACGTCGCAGGATTAATTAGCAATCGCTCTTATGCACACACGTGTCTCTCCAGTCTCAAGCGAAAGTGAATGGAATTTGAGTCCCTTTCTTTCACGGAACATTTCATATATATAAAATTTCTAATGGGATTTTCGGAGAGGAAAATTTTGGCTGGTTTATTCGCTCGCTTAGTCATTTTCACATTAGGGCCTGACAACCTTTGGCGAGTCATATTGACACGTTTCTAAGTGGGTCGATCAGCAGCAGGCTTGACAGTTTGCGAATTTCCGTCAGCGCGTGTGTCGAAATTAATGCATATTTCCTGCAGGCAACTACGTCTTACATTTTCTTCTTTAATCGAAATATTCGATAACTCGATCCCTTGAGAAATCAAAAAACATCTCCAGTAAATAGTTTAAGTTGAGCTTGTTACTAAATAAAAATTATTTTATGTACCAATTCCATTTTAAGAATTTTTGCACCAACTTTATGCAATTTTAATTATTTATTTATATCGTACCAGCTCATACAGCACTGTTACGGTCACAATACAGTGCTAAAAATAACTCCCTGCCGCACGTTTGTAATTCCTCTAGTTACAAGAATCCCTCCGCACAGCCAGCATGCTATAACGGAATCATTTCTGCAAACTCACGAATGGGAAGTCAGGCCTGATCGACCGACCTACTTTTAGATGCATGGCAATCACCAGCAGGGGGTGTCAAACGATTTTGAAAAACTTTTTCCGGAATAAAATCTCTCCTGTGAAACATAAATTTTTTTAAATCTTTTTTCAAAATGAATGAGAAAGTTTTCCATTTAAATTCAAATCACTTTCTTTCCATAGAAAACGTGCCATTTTCATAAATCCATAGGAAATCAGGTAAAAATCACGCCGAATGGGCCATAATCTGTCCAAATCGTGCCGTATCACCGAGGCTACTTGATATCTATAATTTCCAAAACCCTTCTCTATACTCAACGGCGGCCATAATGACATATTTATTATTCCGAACTCTTCAATCCGTCCCTCCGTGATGGAAGTCCATAAAAAAGCCCCCCGCAAATGAAATTCAAATGAGATATATACACTGTCAATAAAATTAATTATTCACCGAAACAAAGCAGCGAAGCGAGCGCGTGCATAACTAAAAATACACACTCCAGCAGCACGTTTTCGATAACAGGAAATTAAGGGATTAATAAAGGGTTTGTCATTTCCATAAATAATACACAGAGCGAGCGAATCGCACGTGGCATTGCGTGTCGCGCGTTTCGCGTGTCCCTAGTTTAAAATATATATATAAATTACATGCTGCGGGGCCGCACGTTATTTTATATGCATCCGAAACTATTTCAACGCTGCGCGTACCGGTGCGTGTACACTTTATTTATTTATTTACATGCGCCGTACCCTTCGACTACTTTCCTCGTCTAATTCCAGGTAATCCTTGAGTGGAGCAGCGCGACATTATGTATTCGATTGGCTGCACCGCCACCGCAGCAATGCTGCATGTGGACATGAAAGCGCGCTCGCTTGTTTATGGACTCGGCGCCGCACGCCACCTGTATTTGAGTTAAGCTGCGGTGTCCACAACACGGCAGTAAATTATCGGAAATGCCTTTTTATTCATGTAACTTTACCAACGGCTGCGAATCAATCCAATAAATGCCGTGCGAGATTAGCCCCCTGGCGATTAACTGGAAATTTGATTGAAAAATTAACTTGGAAACTTGTTTTTTATGTGATAAATAAGCGTTAATTTTGACCTGCAATATTTTCATGTTTATAGATTCAAATGTTTCGTTCATTAAAAAGATAACAATTATAAATGAAAAAATTAATTTATGATGGAAATCTAATTAAAATGGAATGTTTTAGAATAATACTGTATTTAAATCAGATTTGAATTAGCAGATTGGAGAAAAATATATTAATTAATAAAAATATACTTTTGAAATGTTATTAAATAAGTGACTGCATATTTTTTATTGATTAAAATAAAAATAATATTTAAAATTTTAGTTGACTGAAAAATTATGAACGATTTTAGCTAAACTTTTCCTGGACGCGTGCGGTGCGAACGGTTCAGGCTATCAGGCTACACAAATGAATCAATAGAATTGTTTGCACATTCTAGAAAAATTTGCGTGGGAAAGGCAGACTTTTCCAGAATCACAAGGGAAACCTGACACCCTCAATTTAGTTAACTTTTCATTTTCCTGCTTCTGGAAAAGTCTGTGTTGCCCAGGCGCAGATTTTTCTTTTCATAGAATTTGCAAACGATGCTATTGTGGTGCTAACAAGCACATTCCAGAATCGCTGGTTCTAAATTTATTTTCATTGGAAAATAAAAAAGTTATTATACTATAGAATATCAGTTTTACAGTTCATTTCTACTTTATAATTCCTCTTTATTCTTCATGATCTTTCTAATGGGTCAATTAATAAAAAAAGCCCAGTATTATGCTAGCAAACAGACGTCATACTTCTCAAGAGTACATACTTGGTAACTGAACAATACTTGCGCTTGGAAACCACTAAGTAGGTCGAACGGCCTCGAGAAATATGATTGAAAAATCGAGTTTTCCCTGCCGACTGAATTATGTGCGTCGTTCATTTCGATTCATTGACGACGCGCGCGGGCGAGAGATTAATTAATTGACTTCCTGAACATCATCAATGGACACTTCAAGTGGCGGCGGCATATTTGCATTATATAACGCGGTTCCGGCTGTCAGAATTTTTGGCTTGGGTGTGTCAAGGTGATGGCGAAAGGGCGGTCGGTCGGGGTCTTACGACTGCTTTACTGCCAGACTGGTTGCGCTGGCTGGCAAAATGAATGCGCTCGCTGCTTTCGAAAAGAAAAAAAAAACAATGCAGCACACACGCGCCGATCTCGCAGCTCACCTAAATTGGAGCACAGCAGAGCATGGTATAAAGTGCGGCCATTTCTTTCGCATTGTGATGCAGAACGAGAATGGCAGACCTCGATTATCAAATTGCCACTTATTCAATCAGTTGGTGCAGTCGTACGTGAAAAAGAAAATTTTATGTCACTGCAACGAGAGAGGATGTTTGTCATCAAAATAATTGTTTATTTCTTTATTATGTAGATCAAAACAAATAAGTTCAATTTTTGAATGCAGTTCCAAGGATCAATTTTGTTTTTAAATTGTAAGAAGTCATTTGAATAATTTGCAAATTGGTTTAAAAAGAAAACGAGGCACCTTATTTTTTTATAATTTTAGAAAAATGTAATATTATATAATATTGTATTAAATCATTAAAATTACTTTTTATTATTATTTAGTACATTTAATTTTCTATTTTGGTGCATTTTTTTATTGACGCTTATAAAGTAGATTAATTTTGACACTACAAAATTATAATGGTTAAATAAATGTTCCCTCAGTACAAATTCCACTTCCTAGCTGTAGTTTCGAGAATGAAATTCAGCTGCGAAAATTATGCACTAATGACTATTTCAAGGTGCAGCGCGTTTGCAAATTTAGCAACCCATTAGCCCCTCAATGCCACCTGTCTCAATGCTATTATGCGAGATTATATAGTTTTTCCATTTTGGACGCTTTCATTTCTGGCGGATGCCCCTATCGCTGCTTGCAAAATTTCCAGGTGCAAATTTTCAAAAAATTCAGCGAATATTCTCGACCTTAATCCTTGGGATTCCCTTCTTGCTGGCTGGCGTTGGTAACAACGCGTAACCGCATACAATAATATAGAAATCATAACACAGCTTGACTTTCAAAGAGGCCTTGTCAGTGAAAGCAACAAGGAAACACTACTTTTCGTCACTCTTGAAAATGAAAGTGAACGCTTGTTGGAAAGAGTTGGAGGTGGTAAGTACGTGTACTCGGTCCGTGAGAAGGCAAGGCCGCCGCGATTCGTTCTCGCAGCCAAGCAGCAGTCTGCGCAATTTAAATATTTATAAAAGAGAGCCGAGTACACTCTTATGCATGAACGTATACAACAAAGCTCCCTCGGCGCACTGCATTTTTGCTCTCCAGGATTTCTGCTCTCTCTGCCTGTGTAAAAAAACAACCAAGGCATTTCGTTATGCATTGAGATGGAAAAATTGACTGTTACACTGCCCTTGACATGGAATGCGGGGTTAAAACGTGCGCTTTGTGACATCATCGTCAATGGCTATGATCAAGCAGGCTCCATTAATTACTTCATCAGTAATAAACATATAAGTAAAGTCCGTTTTAAAATCCGGTTGCAGCCAAGCAGATCAAAACGGGAGTTGTAAATTCATTGTAACTCTTAAGATCATCAGAAAACTTAATTGTCAGACAAATTTAATTGGAATCCGCAAACGCTGATATTAATTAAAAAATTAATAAAATGGAATTCTTTAATTTAGGGATTTTTAAATTTTTCTAAATTGTAAGTAATATAGATATGGGAGAATCAAAAAACATTTTTATAAGGCCCCTCAAATGTTGCCTAAGCCTTCTAGCACTTGTAGTACTCGAGTAGCATCCTTGGCTGGATTTGCTGCGCAGTTTTTGGAGAAAGGCCTTTTGCCAGACGCACTTTTAAAAGCACGATCTCCGCAGTCTGCGCTTGATACTACTTTCTGTTCTGCATTGAAAGACGAAGAAAAAGTAAAAGTCTTTCACTTCGTGCAAAGCTTTTATCTAAAGAAGTTAAGAATATTTCTTTTAAAATTATGAAGAAGTTCAGAATTTTAAATTCCTGATAAAAAAAATATGAAAAAATGAGCAATTTTTAAATCTCCAATAATTAAAAAATTTTCCGTTACAATAAAATCTGCAGCCCTTCAAGTTTAATCTAACTAAAATAAAATAAAAGTTAAAATGCTTCTAACTTACCGCAATCTGATGGTTGATGTGTGGCCCCTAAAGTCCGTCAGTCCAAAGCATGAAACTGTGTCACCATTGCCCCTAAGAAAAATAAAGAATATTATTCCAAATTTTAAACTGAACTTAAATCAGTAAAATAAATTCACGAAATAGGGTTAAAAGCTTAAAACCCTCACTTCTGACACCGCAATCTGATGGTTGATGCGTGGCCTCAAGTCTCTCTTAAAAATTTTCGGTCCGAAACATGAAACTGTTGCCTTCGTAGAATTGCCCCTAAGAAAAAAGAATTTTAATCAAAATTTCAAAATGAACATAAATCAGTATTAAAATAAATTCACTTAATTAGGTTAAAAGCTTTAAACCCTTAAAATTTTATGTACATAAAACCAAACCTACATCCTTCTTATGAGTCCATTGATGTCGTCTTTGAGCGTTTTACGAGCCGTCTTGTCGAGTGAACGTCCTTGTAACACTCACAATAGCGAATTCCGATAGGGATTATGGGAAACACTCCAACCGAAATCGCGTTAAGGTCCTAAAATTTGCATAAGACGGACGTCTCTCGTGCCTGTCTGGTCGCATCAAACCGCAGGATGACATGAGAGAAGGGTCACTCCCACTTTTTTGGCGCACTTGCACCCTCTCTTGCATGCAGCACTGCAGGGAAATGTCTGTCTGTCTTTATAGAACGCGCGGGAAACGGAAGATAAGGAAGAGCGGGCAGGATGGATGGATGAGGGTGCTGCTGCAAAGCAAAGCAGAACAGGTTGGAGCGTGTGTGTCTTGTCTCGACACGATCCTCCATCCTCTCTCCCCTTTCAATTCGTCTGACAGCTCTGGACCAGCAGCGCCAACATAAACATCAAAGGATCAAAGGCCATCGGAAGGAGGAAGGAAATTCGCGGGAAATACGCTCGGCCATCACGGGACCGGTAATTTTGTTCAATGGTGCGATGAGTAATGATGTCTATTTAGCTATCTACCCTATTACTTTTAGATAAAAGTCATAATAAATAACAATAACCATTTGTGTTTACGCAATCGGAAAGATTATTGCTAATTTTACTAGTTGGCCAGCCTGCAAAGTCAAAAGGTTGCAACAGTCATCAATCATCTTTACATTGGCAGTTTCTCTCAATTTGTGCTTGGAGTTTAATTTAATTGTTTGAAATAGCACCTGTAAAGGGCGGAAGTTTTCCTTAACGTACTAATAAGTGGAGTGCTCAGAAGTTCAGGAATTGTACAAGATCATCCAGAACGTCGTAGAAGGGCAAATTTTTCAACAACACAAATGCAAAGAAGGATTTTTCCCAGCTGATTCCTGCAACAAAGTAAGGCCAAGAATAATTCTTAAATTATGTACCTTTCCATCTTCTCATCATGAAATATAATATCCGTCAACAGTGCTCCTTTTTCATAAATAATTAATTCAGTTTTTGGTCCAAAACGATAAAGAACAAGCCAAATTGTTTGAGCAAAATTTTAATATGTTCAGATGCATTGTTTAGGAAATAAGATTGAATGATTCCTTTTATTCAATAATTATGGATCTATTTCAACGATAAATTGAAAGCAGATATTATTTCTGATTCTGTTTTTAGCTTTTGTTACGTAGCTTTTGGGCAACTGCGCAAATGACCATTATAGTTGTTGTCAGTTTATTTCCAGCTTATTCTGATTTGGTAACTTTTTTATCTCCGCAGAGTAATGATCCATTGTGTGTAGTGCGTAATGGGTTTATTTTTGGTGCCGTGGACTTTCCGTGAAATTGAATAGGAGGTAGTTGGACAATTTTAGATCAATAACACAAACAACAAATAATTCAAAATTCTAATAAACATTAAGCTATTTATACAAATATTTTTATCAGAGAAAAAAATTAATATTTGTTTTACAATTAGATGTAGATTTTGAATTAATAAAACTTAAGCTCTAAAATTTCGGAACAGGGTTGTCATGCAAATTTCACTGAGCGGTTAAATGCAAATGCATGGATAAAGTGTTGATGAGAGGACATAACAAACATTGACATAACACGGCCAGAATTGGGCTTTGCTAACTGCGTTGTGCGTTACGTATTATATTTTATTCATCGATTTTCGGCGACCACCATGTCCATTATTATGAAAGTCCCCGCGACCAAATTGCCTTAATGCATTAATCGATTCCGGGCCCAGTTTCCTCCGAATACGCCTACGCCAAATTTGGCGCACGGAATTTATTTGGTTATATGTTAATGGCACAAAATGTAACACACACCTCTGCGACTGACTCCTACACAAAAAGAACGCACGCAAACAAAATGTATAAAAAAGGTGAACAGAAGCAGCCCATTGGGGCCGTTTTATGTATCCTTCAATGAGAGGCGCTCCTAAATCCGTTCACGCATTTCGTTATTCAAATAAAAGAGCTATATCCGTCTCGCAGCGGCTCTGACCTTTTCCTCGCCGAATTACATCATTCACTTCAAGGAAAAGGCGTCATAAAACACGCCTGCTAATCGGCGAGAAACAAAGCAGCAACCCAATTCCCTAGATTTTACAACCCTTTTCTTGAATAAGAAAGCTATTTCTGGTCAGTTTCCTTCGAAACGTAAAAAATCTGCAAAAATAAAAAAAAATCTGAAAGTAACAATAAAAAATTAAATTGAATGATGTAAATTTTTTAATTCTATAGATCATTACTTACGTTTTTTTATTTTAATTATTACTATGAATCAGGTAAAATCACAAAAACAAATTACATAATGCATCATCTTGATTTAAAATTTTATTTTTCTGTAAAACTTCCACTGTAAAATTATATAAATTCCCAGGAGTGCATTTTTATAATAAATTAAGGATGTTTTTATGTTGTTACAACTCCAAAACTGCTCCATAAAAGGGGTTTAACATTATATTTCACTAACTGGAGTCTGTTGAGAGCAATTCAAAAATGGAATTACACCTAAAAGATCTTTCCGGAACCAACCCCCATAGCCACTTTTCGGCGTGGGCAACATCAGCGAACGCGAGACGAGCGAGCGGACAGTACCCATTAGGGGTTACGGACGCACACATACGGTTGTTGTCATGGGAACAGGCTGGTGACGTCACCGGTGACGTCCTCGACGGGCCTATTTGGTCGGCGCTTTAAATGCGCGCCAACGTACAGTACCTTTACCCTTTGGGCGGCTGTGATTCATTGTGTGTCTTGTTTTGACGCAACTGCAGGCTGGAGCGAAGATTCGTTCGGGCCTTCTAGAATGGCGCGTATACCGAATGCGCCAGCGTCAAATCTGCTCTCGGTTCTTTCGAGAAGAGGCGCCGAATTAAGTTTGGCCCGGGACATTATTATCTTCATCCCTCTTGGGGGAGCCTGGCAAAGGCAATTCGCCCAAATGCTTTTCGCGGAACTCATTTTCCAGATGGCGAGCTAATTGTTTCCAGCGCTCCGCGTTTGCGTTTTGTTAACGCGACATTCAATTTAATTCTCCGCAGAAACGGAGCAAGAGAAAGAGACACGATATTCGGTTTCGTTATTACGAAACACGGCCAAAAGTTCTTTTATTAATTTAGAATAAGGAAAGGAGAGAGTTTGATGTTTTCGAGTTATTTAATTGCAACCGCTTCTTTGTCAGTAAACAACAATATTTTTTTAATGACTAGGGTGTCTTAGTTTGGTTAAGCCAATTTCATTCAGAAGAAAAAATTGTTTTTGAGGGAGGAGAATCTAAATTTATTCCTCCTTTTTTTAAATACCCTTCATGGATAGTTCATAAAGTTTCAATACATAAATAATAATAATAAATAACCTAAAAATCATTAATTGCATTGATCATATATAAATTTTTATTTTGAAATTTAAATTTACTAAAAATGTAATTTATATTATTCTCTTTTTCAATTTTGTCATTAAAATATTTATGAAATTAAAATACAACTTTTTTTAATTTCTTTTAGAAAAGTATTTCTTCCCATTCATAATATTTGAAAAAAAAAATACAAAATATGTTTTTGCAAATAAAATATAAATTATTATCTTTTGTTATTTTGAGACTAAAATTTATATTAAAAGAGAAAAAATTAAATAATTGTGAATTTTTATATCTTTTTACGTTCAATTTTATATTTTTAAATTAAAAACAATTGAACGATAATAAAAATGCATCTTTGCAATACTTTTTTACATAACAGCGAAAAATGAATTTATTTTCAGATGAAACCTTAATTAACCTTTACACCTCCTCTCCTTATTTCAGAGTAAATCGAGATTGAATTTGAAACCCATTTCAGCCAATTTGAAATTTAAATTCAAAGGTGAAAATGCATTGCATCGGATAGGCCAGTAATTTGCACCCTCACGTTGTTTCCAAAAACGTGATACGCCCACTGGAAAAATTAAAAGACTGCTTTTCCTCATGCGTTGGCTGGAGCGATAATACCATATATAGTTCCCCTTTATCTGCCTTTTATGTGACCTTTTCAGAGAGGATTTTCCATTCATGAGGCGCGCGCCAGCTCACTTTATTATTTCCTTGTACAAACTGCGCGTTTCATTTCGAAGAGTGCCGTTTCGCCGCTGCCGCCCTTTGAATCACAATTTCAAATAACACTGAAGGTGCATGTTAGATTGAGACTTTCAGTTAAATAATAAAATCATGTACACCTAGCTTGTGATCTAAATAAGAGAGCTCAGTGAAAGTGCGCCATTGGTTTCGTGTCTCGCGATTTCTCCTCGCGACCGACAGATCACACGGTTGCATAATTTGTGACAAAATAATATGCATTAAGAGTCTTTTTGCCGCCGTTCCATGAAGACGCGACGAGGACAATGGTGAAACTTTAAACACTTAATTGCTGCGGAGAAGAATTCATTAGCCTTTCTTGCGGCCGCGCCGCTCTGTGACGAGTTCATTTAAAATTCTAATGCGCGCAAGAGAGCACTTTTGGAAAGGAGGATAAGTGAGAAGCGGTATATTTTTACACCACAAGTCTTTCTTTGCAACCTTTGAGGACGAGGAAATTGCCTATTTTACTTCACCAAGCATTGGGGACAAAAAATCAATTCGAACAGGTGCAATTCAAAACAAAGAATTTGCATCCAAAATCCTTGAAAGCAGCGAAATAAAAGTATAAAATATTCAAAACTTTTGTTATTGAATTAATCTAATTTTGTATTAATATTTATAATTAAAAAAAAATTTGACAGCTAAAAATCAAACAAGGAAAAAAATTATTCAAACGGTTTTTCATTAGCCTCAATGAAATTACTTTTTGTTTTTAAGTCTTGGGGGAAAATTGGATTCGTTCAAGTCATTTTAGTACTTTTATTCGAGTATAAACAAAACTTTCAAAATATATCTCGTTCAGCTTTCTTTATTTATAACCAATTTAAAAATTTACGCAGTAATTAATAATATCACGAATTTGGTAGTAATTTTTCAATACAATTTGAAACATTTGATCCTAATTTCCTGAATGGTTCACATTCACTACCGAAATTCAAAGAATCGCGATAGTGAGAAAAAATGTGCCTCTGGCGAGTTAATTCCAAACACGCACTACATTCCATTTGAAAACGAAATTCTCCTCATGCACCTGACGAATACCTGAAGGAATTCCACTAATTCTCTTCTCCACCTATGTGGGAAATGGAGAAAATTTCATAACGCATAACAAAGTGCACAAGGAGGAAAACGGTTCGAAAATTCCGAGGGGACTGTTTGACGACTGATTTGTCATGCTCAAGTTATGCGGTCAAGCCCACTCGCGGCGCGCTGCATTT